AATATGGAAAAGCCAATTTTCCTTTGTTTCTTGAAGTACTCCCAGAAGCTTCAATAAGGGCAATCCAAAACAAAGAAAAACAAAATAAAACAATGTCCTTTGCAATTAATAGGTAAAAATGTGGCTTTAATACAATACAGTATATTGCCAGAAGAGAAGTAAAGCAGCTATCACCATTTTTGATCAAGGCAAAGGATTTGTGTGACACTTTAATTTTTCTCATATGAGAAAGTTTAGTTTGGAGCCAAGTACAGCCACAGAGATGCCAAAATGTTGTACCTTCTGCCTTGAGAACTTTGGGCTAGCAGTTACCAGAAGGTTTAGTTCAGGACCCACTAGATCTGAAAGTTTCAAGAGACAGCTTTTGCCCCAGAAGTGGATATTTATTTACCAAAAAGAAAAACCAGATTTAATAAAAGTGATCAAGCTGTGGCTGCTCCAATATTCCCATGATGGGCTCTTTTGAAACCCTTGGCTCTAGAAAGCTCTGTAGTGATAATCTCAAATTCCTGATGCTCTGGTGTGTCTCAAAACACATCACAGCTATGCCCTGCCTTCAGGCAATCATTCTCCCCTCATTCAAGCTGTAATCTTTTTGGGGAGAGGAAGGAGAAAACCTGTGTCTAGCTGCACATTATGTGTTTAAACCCAGAAACATCAGAGGGGCCAGAGCAAGGGGGGAGCTGCTGGGACAGGCTGGGAGGAGGCCAGGCTGGATCCCATCCATCACAGGTTCCAGCTCTAAGAGCCCAGAGGAAAATCACAAGGCCCAGCATCAGCCAGGCCCAGCTTTCCCTGCTCCTGTGTCAGCTCTGGGGCCAGGAGCACAGGTTGAGAGTCCTTGATGTTCCACGTGGTGATGCCCCTGGAGCTGCAGTTAATATTAGAGAGAGCAACAAGGGAACAGAGTGCTGAAAAAAGGGGCAGCTTGATGTGATTTATTGGGAGGGCTGAATTTCTCATTAGGATGTCATGCAGAAAAAGGGTTTTAGAGCACCAGGAGTTTTTAGGCTTCCTATGGCCAGGGCTGAGTGTTTGCAGTGGGATGGGCAGGCAGAGGATGCTTTTGTCCTACATTGCATGACCACTCTGCAGAGAAAAGCACCTTTTCTATTCTGTGTGCCTCTTCAAGCCTTTACACTCTAATCCTTCCCATAAATTAAGAGGCAGTAATCACCTACTGCTTCCCCAAGTTTCCTGCTCCTGTTTGATGTCATTGTGCTTAATTCATCCTTTACGCTGGGGTTAAGCCTGGCTTGCTTTTTTTTTTAGTGCTGCCTCTATTTAATCTTCTTAATTTATATGTGTGTTTGTTTAGAACTCTAAAATAGATATAAATAGTAAAATGGAGACATCCCTGAAACAAAGAGAACCTCAGTTCAGAGGAGCTGGAAAGAATTGTCTTTGTCAGCTCTGAGGAGATGACATTCATGAGAAATTGTGTAAAGAAGAAAGGTTTCACTTTGTCTTAGGTTGTTTTTTAAAGAGAAAACAGAACCTGGGAACAGATTTTTGTATCTTCTTTTCTTTTAGTATTGCATAAAAAATACAAAGACTAAATCTCCCTTCAAATAGATGACATCACTTAGAACACCTCTGTGTTGTTGGATTTCTTATTAAAATGAATATGCCTTCAGCTATTGACAAAACAAGTCAAGATCAGCTATCAATTCTGTGTCTCCAACCCGAAACAATGACTGAATTAAAGGTATTACTTAAGAAAAGAATTCTCTAGATTTTTCTGCAATCTTAGGATAGGAAGCTGTATCCAGAGTGCCATTGGGAGAGATGGAAATGGCAGAATAACATCCCTCTACACAGGACCCCCAAATGTTATAAATTAAACTGCCAGAAATGTGGCTCTATGCAATCATTACACTGATTTTAGGTTGTTGTTTAACTGAGCTTTGCTTAGTTAGGTGTAGATTTCTTTTCTGTCTTCCTAACCCATAAAGTTCTTACATTTTAGACAAGATCTAAATGGCATTTTTCAGTTGAATTAACTCAACCTTGTTCGTTTTTTTTTAATGTTGTCTCAATCTCACAAATTTCCTTTTCAACACCAATTTACCAAAGCTGGTTATATGAGTTCATTAGGCCTTCAACTGATTTTATATATAATTTTGTACAACAGTATCTGCATTACACATAAAGGGAAACCTTATTACTCTGAGTAAATTTGTGTCTTTCAAATACACAGTGTTTCTTCTATGTTCAAGTCCTGTGTAGCAGAAAAGGAATTATTTGAGATCAGCAAAAAAGGAGAATCAAAAGGAAGTCTTCATAAAATATTTAGGTGCTTGGTTGATGGTGATTTAGTCGATTAAATTTTGTCAAAGAGGATAAACAAGCTTCAAGGAGCGATGAGAGAAATAGAAACTCACAGCTTGTATCAGTGGATCCAGTATAGTTGGGTGCTCTGAGCTTTCTGTATTCCTTTAGTCCAAACCTGTGTTTGGTATTGCTGAAATTGTTCCCTGGGAGGGTGGGCAGGCCCTGGCACAGGTGCCCAGAGCAGCTGGGGCTGCCCCTGGATCCCTGGCAGTGCCCAAGGCTGGGTTGGATGGGGCTGGAGCAGCCTGGGACAGTTTGAGGTGTCCCTGCCATGGCAGGGGTGGCACTGGATGGGCTTTAGGTCCCTTCCAACCCAAACCATTTTGTGACTCTGTGTTATTTCTAGAGAGACCACAGCCTTGTGACTCCCCTGATTTCTGCACAGTGACCATTCCCAGGCAAATAAATGTCTGGTCATCTCCTGCCCATCGCTGGAGTGGCCCCCTCAGGCTGCTGGGACAGGGAAATCGTGTTGGCTTTGCCATGATCTGCTCTGTAAGTGCCCCAGTCCCAGCTCTGACCAGCTCCAATGGGCACTGTGTGCCCAGCACTTCCTCACAGTGACTCCTCAACACTAAAATTAGCATGTCTAGAGCCAGACTGAGAGGATTTGCATGTCTGTGTTGGGCTGAGTGTATTTATCTTAGGCTGACACCATCACTGTTAATAATCTCGCTGTAATTGAAGCTTGCCTTTGACATCACCTCCCTAATGACTAATTGGATTGTGTCTCCTCGTTCTCCCTCACTATTTATTCCTGTCTCCCATGGTCATCCTGGAAGGAAACTCCCCAGCAAGCTGACCTGTCACAGAAAACAAGGCACAGGTTCATTTTTTACACCCAAGCCCTTGCTGGAGGAGCTGGGTGAGCGAGGTGGGAGCTCTGGGACTTCTGCTGTCAGCCACAGCTTTGGAAATCAGTTTTACTCTTCTTTTCCTTCCACCATCATTGCTTTTATTGAGACAATGTGGGATTTTACAGGCCTCCAAATCTGAACATTAGCATTGTATTCTCTCAGGACACATAAAGGAACACATGAATTGTGGGATATTTAAATTGTGTTTTTGGGGTAGTTTAGAACATGGAACACACCCTTCATAATTCTATTTATAAACATGGGGAGAGCAGTGAGTGTCTCAGCTAAAACAGCCAGCTGACTCTGTGGCTCACAACATATAAAGCACTTTCCTCATAATGTTTGCATCTGTGGGAATATTTCTTTTTCCTACACTTTGTCAGGCACTGAATTTGAATGACTGATCTCTTGCACGATAACTGACGTGGCTGTGATACAGCTGGCAGACAACCTAAGACATTCTCTAATTTTTAAATAAATATGTTAAAATAACAGTGATTCAAACCGTGGCTATATTAAACTCAGTATAAATAACCTGAATTACATAAAGACAGCTATAACTTCATAACTTGGATTCACCTATGGATCCTGTATCAACCAATCCATTGTTTTAAAAACATTTTTAGGGAGAACATACTAGCTGACTCCCATGGCTTTTCTTGGAGGGACTGAGGAACTTTTTGCCCCTTTAGTCACCTGTAGCTTCTTAAAAGTGCAAAGAGCAACAGGACATCATGTTTTTCTATATACAGACAGACAACTGAATAATAAAACATCTTCAGATTATTTTTTCCACTACAAGAGACACGTAATATTTCCACCAAATGCCTGCATGAAGTCACAGCTGGTGTAAATCAGCAAATTCCCATTGACTCCTTATGGGATGCAGTGCAGCTTTAGGAAGTGCCTGGCATTGTTATCAAAAGGGTAAATGAGAGATCAGCCAGAAACCTCAGACACAGCTAACACTCCAAATTCAGTGGGGCACAGTGCAGAAATCTTGTGTGAATTTATCTGAAACAGCTAAAGTGTGGGTTGTTTTTTTTTTCTCACTCCAGAAAGGGTATAGCCATGCCATATGCACTTGAGTAAAAACAATATATATATAATTTAAGAAGTACATATTGCTTAACACAAGTGCTATTCCAAGCATGCAGAATAAATCCTACTCCTCGTTTTAGCAGCTGTAGCAATCCCAGTTCCCTGGGGAGCAATGGAAGTCTTGGCTAACCCTCCCCTGTCCTGCACCTCCCACTCCCACCCTTGGAGTGGGGTGAAAGGATTTAGGAGAGATTTACTGTGGCACAGAGCCTGAGCCTATCTGTTTAATTCCTGAGCTGTTTTCCCTTTGCAGAAGGAAAGTTCACAGCCTTTCTTTGCACACCACTTTGTGGTGTAAAACTTCATTAAAGCACTATTAATTAACTTGTGCTCAGGTCATTGACTGGTTACAGCAATGATCCTTCTGCTTCATCTGCTGCTGCTCATGCTGGGATCTCCAGGGATTCCCATCATGGGAAATATTTGGGTGCTGTTAGATTTATATCTGAGTGAGTCTCAGGTTGAGATTTTTCATATTGTTCTGGGGAGTAGGACGCCAAATTCCCACCACTCTAATGAGAAAATAACCTTTCCCCTTCAAAAAGGGCTCCTGTGTCTCACCTGAAAGATTTCACTCACTCAGGTAAAAACTCACTGCTCAGAGACTGTTTTCATGTGTGCTGATCAGATGCTGCTGTCACAGGTGAACAGAATAAAAACAGGTGATAAAATCCCTTTTTTTTATAATCAACCTGAGAAGGTCTGCTGGATGCCTTTGAGTGCTGCAGTGCCCTTCCCAGTACCAGCTGCCCTTCTACACATCAAAATCTATAAAATAAAGGTCCACAGGCTGTATCCTGTACATAATGTTGATTTCTGTCTCCTAAACAAGATTAATACTTGGCTGAAAAATCACTTCTACCTATAATATTCTGGGTAAAAAAAAACAACTGGGCTCACATGTATGCTCTCCTGTTTGAGTGGAAAAGGATAAAGGTGGCCTGTCTGATTTTATTTCCTTAAAAATTATTTATTTCCTCTCCCTTTCATGTTTTTTGTGCAGCTTTTGTAATCCCTGGAGACTCTGTATCTAACTGCATCAGGCAGGAACAATTTCTCCCCTTCGTCCCTGAAGCTCAGCAACAATTTTATTCCAAGCACCTGGAAGGTAAGAACAGGTGTTGTCATTTTTCTTCAGCACAATTTAATTTATTTATTTTTTCAGAGTTATTAATGACTAGAATGGTAGATTTCCATCCTTGTGTTCTGGTTTGCTTCAGAGCTCCCAAAAGGTCACAAACTGTCTAAAGTTTCAGGAGAGACTCCTGCTTCTTCCATGAAGGCTGTGCCACTGCTGAAGCTGTGAAATTGGACTTGTACCCAGATGGGATGACAGAAGGATATTCTTACTGAAGTTTTCATGGGTAAAAAAGAGATAAAGAAGGGAAACTAAAGCTCTGCCTCAGCATCCTCAACCTGCTGTGTGTGAGGGTTTGATTTACTGATCTCTCTGATTTATGGATCATTGTGAGCACCCACACCAACCTTTGCTCCTGTGGGGCAGAACTGAGATGTGCACAAACAGCACAGCTGCTTTCAACACAGGATGAGAAGAATTTATAGATCAGGACCTGCAGATGACTTTATTGTCCAGTCCCCAGCTCTGTGAGGCAGAAGCTGCTGGGAATAGCCATGATCATGGCATGGAACCATCTCTCAGAGTGACCATTACAGCTCCCAGTCACTTTCCCATTTTCCATAGGAGCCTTTTGTTCTGGGTAACTAAGCAGAAGAGGGTTTGTTTTCTGTATTTTTGTTGCCTTTGGCAAGCACTTTGCAGCTGCCTGCACAGCTATGATCTTCCATAGAACCTGATATGCTAAATCTCTTCCACCTTCATCCAACCTGCCATGGCAGCAAGGGCAGGGCGTGCCAGGGGTGAGATAATGTTTGCATGAAAGAGAGAAGTGAATCAGAACCAGGTAAGCTCTGAGCTACCAAGATGACTTGGCTTACTGACAGCCTGTTAATGTAAAATGCAGGCCATGTTAATTGTTAAATATATTGGTCGTTCTTTCCAAATTCTCATGAAACTAAATCCACCTTCAGAGTAAAGGAAGTCATTCAACTTCACCTTAAATGGAGATACTCCTATTTTAATTTGTGGGTATTCCTACTACTGCTGTCTCCCTTTTAGGATTTGTGTGTTCTCCTCCATTCTCCAGGAGACAGAAATGCTGGATGGAGCATCACAACAAAACCTCCTGGCTGCTGCTCCAGGCTGCATGTGTGACCTCAGCCAGTTCCCCAAAACTGCAAACAAATCCCTTTTTTGTTTTGCAAAACTGCAAAATAAATCCCTTTCCTGCAAAGCTTCTGAGAACTCATTCTATAATTCTTGCTCCTGTTTGGCAGCTAATCCTTAAAGGAATCACAATTTGTCGCGCTGAACTCCACAGCCTTAAAAGTTAAAAATTCTGTGACTTTCTCAGCAGCATCAGACCCAACAGAATGTTTGGGACATTCAGCCAACTTTGGGACACATTCCTTGGTGCAAAACCATTAATATAATGGTAAGGATGTATTTAGTTTTACGTACCTAGAGCTACTTCCTTTTTGGAGCTTAGATGTCAATAGTGATTGCAAAAAAAAAGCTAAGTAATATCTTCAATTTGTTGTAAAAATAAAACCCTCCTCCCTAAATTTTAATACCATAAAATTTACCCTGTGCTCTTTCCAAACTTCTGTAAATGGTCTCAGAAAGAAATCCCTGAATCTGTGAAATGTGGTGGGTTCATTTAACATCTGGAAGTGCTCTCGTGGCCGTCCTCACTTGCATTCAGGCCGTGAAAAACGAGGCTGGCTGATGCCTTGATACTCAGACAAGGGGTCCCGAGTAGCATCAGTGCCAGTAAATAAAAGATTAAGTTTTCTGCACTGGAGATTGATGCTTGAAATTTTGGGTTTGGGCATTTCCTGAGGGCCTGTTGCTCATGCAGAATGCTGGGAGCTGTTTGTTTTCAGTCTGTAAATAGAGCAGCCAAGCTGATGCTCATTAGGTGATCTCTGCTGCACCAGTAGGCCCAGGAGTTGAAGCTAACCATTAGAAACGGTTTCTAAAGCAACTTTTTGCAAAGTTTATTATTTTCATTTCTTTTGTTCAGGAACAAGAGCTTACAATTCCTGTGGTACTCTCCCCTGGAAACTGAAGGGAAGGATCACACTGACAGTCATGATTTTAAAAAAAATTATTTAAAAAAATAAGCAAGCAAAGCCCAAAGAGGTAAGAAAGCAAATACTCAAGCATTTAAAGTTATATAATAAAATATGTAGATTTTAAAAGTTACAGGTTCAAAAGGCCCTTTGTATCTTCCTCTTAATAGAGTTGGGGTTTGGATCTTCCCTAAATGACTTAAAAAAAGGAGAAATTAAAAGGAGCAGTCCTGGGAATTTTAGCAGGTTAATTCCCTTTTTTGACATTTGCTGTGTGCTCCCTGATTTTCTGTCTTCAGAGTTTCAGAGAGCCATAGTGAAACATATGAAACATAGTGAAACACCATTTATTGATGAATAAATAGGATGTTGATGTGGTCACAGCTATGTGACTCAAAAAATGGCTGGAAGAAACAAAGCACTTCCAAATAAATATTCAAAGAAATCAAATGATTGTTCAGACACCTTTGTGTCAAAAATGCTCACGAGTTTACACAGAAGGCACTGAGAGATGCTGCTTGTGTCCTTTTTGTTAAATTTGGTTTTAAGTGTACATTTTGCTGAACCAGTAAATACAGAATATCTTTCTCTGCAGGTGTTTCAGGGGGAAAATCTCTGCATTTTAATGCAGTGATGGTTCAGACAGCACACAGCCTGCAGTGTGGGCACAGGCACTTTCTCACATACACCATTCATAGCAAAATCAAACGATAAAAGGTCGAGAGAAAACTCCATTTTTATTTTTTTTTGTTAAATCCCACTACAAGGAATTCAAGAACAGAGTGTTTAATAATTATGTAATCTTGGCTAGAGCTCCACGATTAAATCAGTGAACTAGAGGATATTAAAGACGGGGGGAAATACCGTGGCCATAAAGCTCCCAGATGGACTGGAGCTCAGCAGCTGTGCTGCTGCTGGACACTCTGGACACTCTGGACACTCTGGACACTCTGGACACGGGGCAGTGACCCTCAGTTGATTGCACAATGACCACCAGGCCCAGCTGATGCTCCAGGGTCAGGGTTGGGGCGGTCACTGCACTCACCAGAGTCCATCTTGCATGAAAATTATCTAAAACAGCAGATATTTCTTATTTATCTCTGAGGAGTTACAGCTTCTCCCCCGAGCTTGCTGTGTCCTGGAGGAGCTGCAGGCAGCACTCAGGGGTGCTGTGTGTCAGCCCTACAGATTTCCTTCCAGAAATCCCCCCCAAAACTGAAGTGACAGCTTAGGATCTCATGACCTGTGCTGTGAACTTCACTCATATCCTTGCTGAAAGAAGTTTGTTTGTAGAGATTTTCTTTGTATTTACTGAGCCAAACAGAGGAAGTTCTCTGTCGTTTTCTTTTCATTGCAACATTTTCTTGGAATATTCTTTTGTATGTTTTTCCTTTCTTTTTGTTTGTGTGTTCTCTAGGAGGCACGGAAGAAATTTCCAAACAACGTATAAATTAGACTTTTCCTTCTTAATGTGACATGCTAGTACTCAAAGGAGTCTCATCTGTGCACTTGGGGCTGTATTCCTAGGGCAGAATTCCTTTCAAGCAGCCACAGATTCAGGGGTTGTGAATTTGGGGTGCCCTCTTTGCTATAAATGTCTTGGGTTGCCAGATGACACACTGACTTCTCTGCTACACCCTTCCCAAAACTGATATTTCTAATTGATTAATCTTAATAGACACCCCACCTGAAATATACTGACTTACCAATAGAACCATCCCCTGCAGGACAAATATTCCCTATTCCAGTGTGCCTTATTCTGCTGGATTCTCCTCACACTGGAAACAGAACCAGTTTATCCCAGCAGATAATCCCGACAGAGGTGACCTTCCACAGGGCCTGGCCATGAGCCACTTTGCTGAGGCACCATCACAAAATCCCTTGCCATTGCCCACCTGCTGTAAATGACACTAAAGGTAGAGCTGAGACAACAGTTTACTGCAAAATGTGATTGCAGGCCCATTTTTCTTCATTAATTTGGTGTTAAACGTAACCTATTACAGGGGTTCCATTTAGGGAACAGATGGTAAATACAAGTTAATGCAGATACAGATTAAATAATATTGGCAACAGCTAATGCATTTCCACAAAGCACAAAGCTAATAAGTGCTAAATGTTCTTTAAAACTACGCTTAAATCATGGAAAATTAAATCCTTTGAATAGATTTGTTTTTCAATTTCTTCAGTTGGGAAGTATTTCAGTGAAGTTACTGAGTAAAGGACACCCAAGACCTCTGCCTATAAGACTTCAAGATCCACTCCAGGAAGCATTTTGAAGATTTTATTGCACTTTACATTTTTCCTGAGTTACAGTATCAAACAAATGCATTGTTTGAGCAGGGGAGCCAAAGCTGGATCACAAGAGGTGCCTGGGTTTTTCCAGCGGGAGGAAGAGCTGGTTCACGAATAGCACAGAAATTTTTTTGCCTAAGAAAAACCCCAAAGCATCCAGCTTCCACACGATAAAAGTGCAAGCAAGGGATTCCCCACACTGCAGCTGCACATCTGGACACAGCCTGCACCAAAATCCTTTCTCCTTTGCCCTGCTGATCCCTGCAGATCTGTGGGACTCACAGCCTCCTCCCAGGGAACATCAACCACAGCTCTTGTTCCTTCATGGCTGCTGCTTTCCCATGCAGGAGGATGAGGCTGGTGAGGATCCAGTCCCTGGGACATGGGCTGAGAGTTTAGGATCACAATTTCTAGGAAAGGGGCAAAACAGAAGTAGCCAAACCTTGTCCTCGTGTTGGTGGGATAGAGGTAAATTTCTTCACCCCACTCCTCACTCCGTTGTTTGGCTTGATAAGGAAGTGGCAGAAATGCTCCTGTTAAAAATTTGATTTTTTTTTAATGTTAAAACAATATCTAAGGGAATTCCCACATTTAATTAAAATATAAATCAGACTCAGCTGACTCTGCAGGACCCTATTTCTGTGATTGCCTCTGGCTGTAGCCAAGTGAGGGAGACAGAGGGATGCAAGACGTGTGTCCACAAAATCATCTGCTGCAAAACTGGATCTTCCCGAGTTCCTCTTGAGAACCAGGATCCCAAGCTCCTTGAAAATATCATAAATGCAAGTCAAAGAGCTGCAGTGACTCAAACAGAAAGGTTCTATTTTCTCTTTTTTTCTCCTTTAATCTGCTCCCCTCATTTTTTCTTTGCTGTCTCATCTCCCTGCCTTTCTTTGTCTGTGTTTTGAGGTATGCAGATTTAGACAAGTGTTTATGCTTAATCAGACAAAACCTCTTGCTTTGAAAACAATAATTATTCAAACATCTCGGGAAGAAAAGACAATGAGTGGATGTTGTGCACTGAAGCAAAATAAAGCAAGACAAAGAAAGTCTAGATTTATTACAAAACAGAAACCCAGTGCTTGCAAAACAATTTGCTTTAAGTGCAGTAATAATTCCTTGAGGCAGATTATACGAGCCACATGAGTTACATTTCAGTGGTGAGATCCAGCTCATTCTAGCAAGGAGGTACAGCTCCAAAGTTTAGAGCAAGTAGGCTTTGGCTAGAAAATGTGCTTTTCAGAATCACTGCAGAATCTAGAAGGATGGCTCTGCAACCTTCCAAACATCCAAGGTTGTGGATTTTTTTAGTTATTTATTTAACTTAGTGATGAGACGCCACAATCTTAGAGTAATGGCATTATATAGACATTATTCCATTAGAGGAGTGGAAAAATGTAGATATTATTTTCCATAATACCTACAGACTTGCTGGCTTGTTGATTCAGGGAATTCACCCCAAGAAAAAATTACCTGGAGTTCAGCTGGACTGGCTTGCTGGCCCCTGTTTCCTGCCAGGCATTTGGGGATGGAGGTACTGGTGGTGTTGGGAAGGGAGGGAGGGTGGGACAGT